GCCTAACTGTTACTAGCCTAACTGTTACTAGCCTAACTGTTACTAGCCTAACTGCTACTAGCCTAACTGTTACTAGCCTAACTGTTACTAGCCTAACTGTTACTAGCCTAACTGTTACTAGCCTAACTGTTACTAGCCTAACTGTTACTAGCCTAACTGTTACTAGCCTAACTGTTGCTAGCCTAACTGTTACTAGCCTAACTGTTACTAGCCTAACTGTTACTAGCCTAACTGTTACTAGCCTAACTGTTACAGCCTAACTGTACTAGCCTAACTGTTACTAGCCTAACTGTTACTAGCCTAACTGTTACTAGCCTAACTGTTACTAGCCTAACTGTTACTAGCCTAACTGTTACTAGCCTAACTGTTACTAGCCTAACTGTTACTAGCCTAACTGTTACTAGCCTAACTGTTACTAGCCTAACTGTTACTAGCCTAACTGTTACTAGCTTAACTGTTACTAGCCTAACTGTTACTAGCCTAACTGCTACTAGCCTAACTGTTGCTAGCCTAACTGTTGCTAGCCTAACTGCTACTCACCTAACTGTTACTAGCCTAACTGTTACTAGCCTAACTGTTACTAGCCTAACTGCTACTAGCCTAACTGCTACTAGCCTAACTGCTACTAGCCCAACGGCTACTAGCCTAACTGTTACTAGCCTAACTGTTACTAGCCTAACTGCTACTAGCCTAACTGTTACTAGCCTCACTTGTTACTAGCCTAACAGCTACTAGCCTAACTGTCACTAGCCTAACTGTTACTAGCCTAACTGCAACAGCCTAACTGTTACTAGCCTAACTGTTACTAGCCTAACTGTTACGAGCCCTAAACTGCTACTAGCCTAACTGTTACTAGCCTAACTGCTACTAGCCTAACTGTTACTAGCCTAACTGTTACTAACCTAACTGTTACTAGCCTAACAGTTACTAACTTGAACTGTTACAAGCCTAACTGTTACTAGCCTAACTGTTACTAGCCTAACTGTTACAAGCCGAACTGTTACTAGCCTAACTGTTACAAGCCTAGCTTGTTACTAAGCCAAACTGTTACTAGCCTAACTGCTACTAGCCTAACTGCTACTAGCCTAACTGTTACTAGCCTAACTGCTACTAGCCTAACTGTTACTAGCCTAACACTGTTACTCGCCTAACTGTTACTAGCCTAACTGTTACTAGCCTAACTGTTACTAGCCTAACTGTTGCTAGCCTAACTGTTACTAGCCTAACTGTTACTAGCCTAACTGTTACTAGCCTAACTGTTACTAGCCTAACTGTTACTAGCCTAACTGTTACTAGCCTAACTGTTACTAGCCTAAACTGTTACTAGCCTAACTGTTACTAGCCTAACTGTTACTAGCCTAACTGTTACTAGCCTACTAGCCTAACTGTTACTAGCCTAACTGTTACTAGCCTAACTGTTACTAGCCTAACTGTTACTAGCCTAACTGTTACTAGCCTAACTGTTACTAGCCTAACTGTTACTAGCCTAACTGTACTAGCCTAACTGTTACTAGCCTAACTGTTACTAGCCTAACTGTTGCTAGCCTAACTGTTGCTAGCCTAACTGTTACTAGCCTAACTGTTACTAGCCTAACTGTTACTAGCCTAACTGTTACTAGCCTAACTGTTACTAGCCTAACTGTACTAGCCTGACTGTTACTAGCCTAACTGTTACTAGCCTAACTGTTACTAGCCTAACTGTTACTAGCCTAACTGTTACTAGCCTAACTGTTACTAGCCTAACTGTCACTAGCCTAACTGTTACTAGCCTAACTGTCACTAGCCTAACTGTCGCTAGCCTGACTGTTGCTAGCCTAACTGTTGCTAGCCTAACTGTTGCTAGCCTAACTGTTACTAGCCTAACTGTTACTAGCCTAACTGTTGCTAGCCTAACTGTTACTAGCCTAACTGTTGCTAGCCTAACTGTTACTAGCCTAACTGTTGCTAGCCTAACTGTTACTAGCCTAACTGTTACTAGCCTAACTGTTGCTAGCCTAACTGTTACTAGCCTAACTGTTGCTAGCCTGACTGTTACTAGCCTAACTGTTGCTAGCCTAACTGTTACTAGCCTAACTGTTACTAGCCTAACTGTTGCTAGCCTAACTGTTACTAGCCTAACTGTTACTAGCCTAACTGTTACTAGCCTAACTGTTACTAGCCTAACTGTTACTAGCCTAACTGTTGCTAGCCTAACTGTTGCTAGCCTACTAACTGTTACTAGCCTAACTGTTGCTAGCCTAACTGTTACTAGCCTAACTGTTGCTAGCCTAACTGTTACTAGCCTAACTGTTACTAGCCTAACTGTTACTAGCCTAACTGTTACTAGCCTAACTGTTACTAGCCTAACTGTTACTAGCCTAACTGTTGCTAGCCTAACTGTTACTAGCCTAACTGTTACTAGCCTAACTGTTACTAGCCTAACTGTTACTAGCCTAACTGTTACTAGCCTAACTGTTGCTAGCCTAACTGTTGCTAGCCTAACTGTTGCTAGCCTAACTGTTGCTAGCCTAACTGTTACTAGCCTAACTGTTACTAGCCTAACTGTTACTAGCCTAACTGTTGCTAGCCTAACTGTTACTAGCCTAACTGTTACTAGCCTAACTGTTACTAGCCTAACTGTTACTAGCCTAACTGTTACTAGCCTAACTGTTACTAGCCTAACTGTTACTAGCATAGCCACGGGAAAGCCTTTGGGAACTATTTAATGTTCTTACATTAAATAAACCTTTCGACATTCCTAAAAGTAACTGAAGTTTATGTTGTGTGTTCTGTTGGTATAAAGCTGTATAATAAACGGGATAACGTATATTACGCAGGTCATTATCGGAAAATAAGCACCGACAGGTACTTACTACTCTTATCTTACAAACACAAAAAATTAAACTATTTTGATCCTGGACCAGTGTCTTTTTTTTACACTGTTTTTATTTGTGTGAATTTATTTCTGTAATGTCGAGAAAGCACTTTGTGGCCAGACATGTCAGTGTAAAAAAAACTATATAAAGAAACTTGAGCTTAACCTAACACACACACACAGTTACACACACACATACGTAACGCGCACACACACACACTTACACTCACTTACACACACACATACGTAATGCACACACACACACTTACACACACACACTCACACGTAACGCACACACATGTACACACATACACACACTCGTACACACACACACATACGTAACACACCCACCTACACACACATACGTGCACACACACACGCACACACACACATACGTGCACACACACACATACGTGCACACACACACATAGGTAACACACACGCACGCACACACACACATACATGCACACACACACATACGTAACACACACACACACACACAGTATAGTCCTGTGCCATCTCGGAGCATGTACCAACAGTTCTCCAGTTTCCAGTTTCCTCGGTGTGAATGTAGAGTTTGTTCCTGAGAGGCTGCGATCGGAAAAAGTCTATTTTTACTTTGATAAAAATCTCTTGGCACCGAGCGAGAAGCATCAGCGCTCACTGAGGCACCTCGTTGTACAGGCTGACAGTGCTGCCGACACCATGTTCACTGTATTCAACATCAATACAGAAGTACAGTGTTTTAATGAATTAAAAGTGGTCATTGTCGGCTTTTCTTTTTGATTCATGCAACAAAAGTATAATCCATTCCACTTCATTTATATGGCACATTTTATTTATTTTATTCCAATGAAATGAGAATAAGAGAGATAAAAGTAACACATTTAAATATTCAGGTTTTACAGCTATATATGTATCCAAAATAGATTGAGTAAAATAATTATGATGTAAGAAGTAAAAACTTGTTTACTTTAAACTTGAACTAAATCCTTACAGATAAAACAAGGACCATTATAAAGGTGCACTTTATTAATCCCCGTAGGGCAATTTAATCCTCTGCATTTGACCCATCCTGATGCCACTGTAGAGGCTTGGAAATAGAGCAAAATGATTAACAGGCACCCCTCATTTTTATTTTGTTATTGAGAACTTTATTTTTGTTTGTTTAGTAGCTATTCATGTGATTACTACAATCTCTATATTGTTTTAAGTGCAGTTCCTCCCCTGACCAGTAGTTGGCGCATATCGCGCAGAGTGGGTAGAAAGTAGACTGAGCGCTGCAGAGGAAGAATCAATCCTCTTGAAGTAAACGCAGCTCAACGCATGTGCTCTTGTCTGTACTTTTTATCACAGGTTGGTAAAACGTTAAAAACACATGTTGATGCCAATTGTTAGTTATCAGGTGTCTTAGGAGTGTATTGTGAACCGTGGTAATGTGTAGAGTGAAGTTTGTGTGAGGGTTTGTGTGAATATGTGTCTCGTTTTTTATGCTAACCTGCGAAGCTAATGGTCATGGTAGGGAAATCGCGACGTGGGTAAACTTGAACCACACCACTTTATGGTACAAGAACCACATGAGTAGTGGCATTGGTGAACATTTATGCAACTTATTTCATGTAATACTGTTTTGTTGAGTTTATTTGATTGTTTAAACAATTATCAGTAGACAGTATTGTAAGTGCAAAAAAATCACATGGTCCAGTTCTGAGTCTGGTGCCACCTTGTGGACATTTAAATTAGTACACAAGCACCGAGAATAATTGAGACGATTTCTTTGTTTTTTTTGTAAATTCAAATATTAAAAAACTGTAATTAATTTAATGTAAAAGCTCTTGTTAAAAATGGATTTAGTTTGTGTTATTGTGAATATGGAAAAAAATGTAAAAGTAAATGTACATTTTCTGATTGATTGCAAATGAGAAAGAATCAATCCTCTTGAAGTAAACGCAGCTCAACGCATGTGCTCTTGTCTGTACTTTTTATCACAGGTGTTACTTCACGGAGGCATATGCCCTCTGAACCGCTAGTCAGAGGAGCAACATTTTGGGGGCTCGTCCGGGATTGGCGCCACCTGCAGGTCTGGTGCTAATCAACATAGAACCATGGGAAGCTGACAACCTGTTCCAGAGCCATTGATCCAGCCATGTCGGCGCTACATGACCTCAAATGGGAAATCCAGCGAGGCCTTCATCTGCTGACCAGTGCACACAGCAAAGATATTCTCTACAAGCTGGCAGAGTCGTTACAAGATGAGGTGGAAGGAGAAACGCCAGGTGCAGAATCGACCGAAGTGGAACTCTTCGATTTCATTGTTGACTATATGAGAAGTCCGCAACTGAAGATCCTCGAGGACCAGGGGATGTCTCACCTGCTCGCCCTCCACGACCTCATCACAGAACTACAATTGCCATCCGCTGGTGGGGAAGAAGATGCTCAAGTATTGTCAGACAGTGAAGTGATCGTTGTAGCCCCGGTGACAAGTGAATCTGCTGCATCTCCACTCGTCACAGTGAAGTCATCATCATCATCAGTGGCCGCTGATCCAGTTACAGGTTTAGTCAAGCTGTCGGAACTCAAGTCATTTTTGCCACATCGAGAGTACAGGATTCATGGTGGTCAAATCTCTGATTTTGAGTCGGATTTGAGTTACAATGTGTTATGTAAACAGATTGATGAAGGACTAAATGAAGGTTTTACAGAGGCTGAGATTATTAGAACGGTGTTAAGAATAATTAAGCCTGGTACCTTTAAGGATATGCTTGTCACAAAAGATAGCATGACTGTGTCAGAGTTAAAACGTTTCTTAAAAACACACCTAAGAGAGAAAAGTAGCACTGAATTATTTCAGGAGCTTAGCAATGCTAAACAATATGAAAAAGAAACACCACAGCAGTTTATGTACAGACTCATGGGTCTTAAACAGCGAGTGCTAATTGCATCTAGGAACAGCAGTGGTTTTCGCTATGACAGTCAGTTGGTACAAGGTGTGTTCCTTCATTCATTGTATCAAGGTATGAATGAAAAGTGCTCATTTGTCAGGAGGGACCTTAAACCTCACATCTCAGATTCTGGTGTCACAGATGACTCCATTTTGGAGATCATTACTAAAGCAGTTAGTGAAGATGCTGAAAGACAGTGTAGGCTGGGACAAAGCCAAAAACCGAAATCTGTGAACGCAAATACAGCACAGGTGGAAAAAGACAACAGCTCTGTAAAAATGCAAACTGAAGTCCAAGCTAACCGTGCTGCTATCAAAGAACTCACAGCGCAGGTGTCCTCTCTAACCAAAAGCTTAGAAAAGGCCCTGAACCCAATGGCCAATGCTGTATCTGACAATTCTCGTCCAACCGTGCATGCCTCAAAACAGCCAACTTCAAAATTGGAGGTTAAAGGAAAGTGCCAAAAATGTATCATTGAGGAGACTGAACATTGTACTCACTGTTTCAGATGCGGAAAAGAGGGGCACAGAGCTGTAGGTTGCCTGCAAAGAAACGTGTCGGGAAACGTGAGGAGGTGACTGGGGAGGGACCACCAGTGACGGTGATGTCAGTAGAGTCCCACACAACGGAGAGAGTGGAACCGGATCAAACAACAACAAAATCCCTGAAACGACTCAAAGAAAACAAAAAGCATGTGGCACAACTAATAGGTGGTAGGTGTATGATTAATTGCCAGTTAGATGGGGTACCTCTACAGCAGTGTCTCCCAAAGTGGGGTCCGCGGCCCCCTGGTGGGCCGCGAGGGTACTGCAGGGGGGCCGCGGGAGGTCATAAAAAAAAAAATATATATATATAATTATTTAATGTTAAATGTATAATGTTTTGTTTGTAATATTAAAATATTTGTGTTCATTATTTGACTTGAATAATCCACTGTAATCATTTTTGTATTACAATGTTTGTAGCAGAGGCTATTTCCCCAAAATAAAATAACCAGAAGAGCCTATTCTTAATGTTGTCTTCTTGGTTATTATTTTGGGGGGCCACGCAGACCCGTCAGATTTTTAAGGGGGCCTCGGTGTTACTGAGTTTGGGAATGGCTGCTCTACAGATGTTATTGGACAGTGGGGCACAAGTTAGTATTGTAGAAAAGGCATGGGTACAAACAGCTTTACCAAATGTGAAAATACAGTCACTCGAGAGTTTACTGTCAGACTACCCACTTAAAGTCACTGCGGCAAATGGTACCGATGTTCCCTTTGAAGGATGGGTTGAAGTACTGCTCGAAATAACTAGTTCACATTATGGTACAGTGTCAATCCATGTTCCGTTACTTGTTAGCCAACAAAGTGTAACTACTCCTCTCCTGGGTTTTAATGTCATACAAGAGATAATCATGGGAAACTGTGACCAAAGTGACAATATTAGTTTGGTGGATTTACTGACTGAGACTTTAAAAGCTCAGAAAAGTAATATTGAGTCACTTATCTCTGCTGTCCACACGAAGTCTGTTAGTAGTGAACCAGCAAGTTCAGTTGTGAAAGTAGGAAAAAGAGGACTCACTATCCATACTAACCAAATCTGTATGGTCAAATGCCACATGAGAGCATTTCCTGGTGGAGGTGAAATGTGGTTTGAGCCATCCTTGAAATGTAACTTACCCGATGGATTGGAGTCATTTGCAGCTCTTATTGATGTACCCCCGGGTGGGTCAAAGATAGTAAAAATCCCAATCCAAAATGTGACAAAACATGACATTTTCTTGCACCCAAAGACTGTTCTAGGGCTTATTGGAGAAGTTTTTGAATACAAACCAATAAACATTTAACCTGGAATAAATGAACAAAAACAACAGATCGGAACAAATCAAGCTTTCTACTGTGAAACTCAAGTGTCAAAGCGAGAGAAAAGAGACTTTAAGTGCAGCTCTTCACATGTGAGATGGCACCCAAAAGTCAACTTGGAGCATCTCTCAGAGACTGATCAGGAAGTTGTGCGCCAAATGATTTTTGAACAGTCTGATGTCTTTGCTCGTGAGGAAGGAGATATTGGATATATTCCTGGGTTACAACTAAAAATCAACACTACAGACAACACTCCTGTACAAAAAAACTACAACTCCATTCCAAGGCCACTGTACAGTGAGGTAAAGGAGTATGTTCAAAACCTTTTAAACAGGGGGTGGATCAGGAAATCTGTGTCAGCATATTCATCACCAGTTGTGTGTGTGCGTAAAAAGGACAATACTTTGCGTTTATGTGTGGATTTTCGAGAGCTCAACCAAAAAACTGTACCTGACAGGCACCCGTTACCACGGATACAGGACCTCTTGGATAGCCTTGGTGGAAACTCCTGGTTCTCAATCTTGGATCAGGGGAGTGCATATCATCAGGGTTTTGTTAGTGAGGAGTCTAGGCCTTTAACAGCTTTTAGCACACCCTGGGGGTTGTACGAGTGGGTGCGGATCCCATTCGGTTTAACTAACGCTCCAGCCGCTTTTCAAAGGTGCATGGAGGGAGTGTTAGAAGGGATCAGAGATGAGTGTTGCGTGCCTTACTTAGATGACATACTCTGTTACTCTAAAACCTTTGATGAGCATGTAGAGCATCTTAGACAAGTCCTCTGTAAAATGAGACAACATGGCATAAAACTTCGTCCAGCCAAGTGTGAACTGTTCAAAAAGCAAATACGTTACCTTGGTAGACTTGTGTCAGGAGAAGGAGTACAGGTAGACCCTAGGGATTTGGATGCTGTGATCGCTCTGAAAAATAATAAGCCGCGCACAGTGGGAGAGCTCAGAACGCTACTTGGATTCTTGAGTTACTACCGCCCATTTATCAAGGATTTCTCACGACTGGCACGACCATTGTTTGAACTTTTACAAAAAGCGAAGGACACAAACAGTGAAAACAAACCAGTACCAAAAAGGGATAAAGGACGAACAAAGAAAGGAGACAAAAACCAGCTGCCATCCCGCACGCCAATAATCTGGACAAGTGAACATCAGGATATTGTGTCAAAGTTTGTGGATATTTTAACAAATCCGCCCATTCTAGCATATCCAGATTTTGACCTCCCTTTTGTTTTACACACAGATGCGTCAAATAGTGGCTTGGGAGCGGTATTGTACCAAAAACAAGAAAACAGACTTAAAGTGATTGGTTATGGCTCTCGGACTCTGACACCTGCTGAGAAAAATTACAACTTACATTCTGGCAAACTTGAGTTCTTAGCTCTTAAATGGGCTATCTGCGACAAGTTCCGTGATTATCTGTACTATGCTCCAACCTTTACTGTCTATACAGATAACAATCCCCTAACCTATGTACTTAGTTCAGCCAGGTTGAATGCTGTTGGTCATAGGTGGGTGGGAGAGTTAGCAGACTTCCATTTTGATATCAAGTATAGACCAGGCAAAAGAAACCAAGATGCGGACATGTTATCCAGGTTTCCTTTAGATCTACATCAGGAAATGGGCGAGTACACAGAAACGGTTTTGCCAGAAGTAGTGTTTGCAATATGGCAGGGTAGTAAAGCAGCTCAGAGCAATGATGTACCTTGGATAGCTGCATTACAACTCGGCTTCAATGAAAACAATGTGTCCACAGACAGTGTCTTGAGCATGACAACCAAAGACATAAAAAGTGCTCAACAGGAAGACCAGTCAATCAGAGAAGTGATCTCACTCAAACTCAAAGGAAGGACACCGAACGAGAAAGAAAAGCAAACAATGAGTAAACAAACAAAGAGACTTTTGTACGAGTGGAACAAGTTGGAAGTCAACAATGGACTATTGTACAGAAAAACAGAACGCAACAAACAACTTGTACTCCCCGAACAGTTGAGGCCTCTGGTTTTAAAGAGCTTGCACAACGATATGGGTCATGTTGGTACGGACAAAGTGACTCATCTGGCTCGTGAGCGATTTTATTGGCCGCATATGCAACAGGACATTGAGGACTACGTAACTAAGAAATGTCCATGCATAAAACAAAAACGCCCAAATGTCCCCCAGAGAGCACCTATGGGAACTATCACAAGAGTGCTCCGTTTGAGTTAGTTTCCATAGATTACATGCACCTAGAGCAGAGTAAGGGAGGGTATGAGTACATTTTAGTACTTGTTGACCATTTCACTCGCTTCGCGCAAGCGTACCCTACGAAAAATAAGTCTGGCAAAACAGCTGCCGAAAAGATTTTCCAAG